AACTTGCAAAAGCAAATGCACTCGCACCCCGACCTCACACGGACACCGACGTCGATACGAGCAAGATCACGGGCCTAAGTATAAATCTGAATGACCCTAAGAGCTAAGACCATACAACTTTTCAGGAGAAAACACAGCACAGAGTCTTGGAGGCAAGGGGTGTGCAAAGATTTCTTAGGACACAAAGGGTGTAAAGAGAAAATATCAACAAACTGAACTTCATCAAAAGTGTAAACTTTTACTCCGGAAAAGACACTTAAGAAAATAAAAGGGCAAGCCACAGACCGGGTGAAAATATTTGAGATATGTATCTGGTAAAGACGTGTTTCCAGAATACATAAGGAATTCTTGCAACTGAGTTCAGTTTTTCAAACGGACCAGAGATTTGAACAGACATTTCACAAAAGAGGGCCTGTAAGAGGCCGACAGCCACCAGAGCAACGGAAACTTTAAAACCACAGGGAGACACGGCTACACGCCTATTAGAACGGCTGAAATTGAAAACGTCGGCGATACCTACGCACGGGGAGCCCCTGGGGCTTACACGTCCCCAGAGGGCGGGCCAAGTCCAGTGACGCTGAGCTGAAGAGCCAGACACGGCCAGTGTTCTGCGGCTCTGTTTCTGAGACTCCAGAACAGAGTGACCTACGTGACAGCCGATCTGCAGCTGGGGGGTGAAAGCAGAGTGACAAGGGAAACTCTGAATCTCGACCGGGGGTGGGGGGCGCACACAGGGCACATACTGTCAAAAGTCATCAAACCGTGTACTGCTCACTCAACACCGGTATGTTTTATTAAATGGAAAGTATCCTCAGTTAAGATTAGTTTTTTAGAAGTAGATGACTATGAAGCAAATTAGTGCAATGTGCACGGGGGTGCCTGGGGGGCTCAGTGAAGCTCAGGTCATGACCTGAGCCCCACGTAGGTTAGAGGCCCGCTTCGGGCTCCGTGCTGACCGCTCAGTGCCTGGAGCTGCTTCAGATTCTGTGTCTCCCTCTCTCTCTGCCCCTCCCCCACTCGCACTCTGTCTCTCTCACTCTCAAAAATAAACACTTAAAAAAATTTTTAATAAAAGTAGGTAACTACGAAGCGAATTAGTTCAGTATGAATAGATTGCTATGGAAAAAGCAGCAGGACCCATTACTAAATGAAAAGGAACAGTACGTGTGGTACATACACAGGGTGAGTTCATGGAGATCACTAAAATACTCGCCTACGTACACTGTGAAAAAAAAAGGGATAATGTTGACCAAGTGATAAAGGTAGTGTCTTGGGGCGCCTGGGTGGCGCAGTCGGTTAAGCATCCGACTTCAGCCAGGTCACGATCTCGCGGCCCGTGGGTTCGAGCCCCGCGTCGGGCTCTGGGCTGATGGCTCAGAGCCTGGAGCCTGTTTCCAATTCTGTGTCTCCCTCTCTCTCTGCCCCTCCCCCGTTCATGCTCTGTCTCTCTCTGTCCCCCAAAAAATAAATAAACGTTGAAAAAAAATTTTTTTTTAAGAAAAGGTAGTGTCTGAAGTCTTACAGGTGTTATTTTGTGAGCCCGTGCCCAAAACCGATAAAGATGCTCAAAAAAAACAGGTGATTTATTAAGAAACAAAACTCCAAAGTAGCACTGGTCATGAACGGAGCAGAAGGCCCAGCGGCACCTGAGGCCTCCAGGTGTGGCTTACTGACACCCGTCAGCCACCGGATGGGGAAGGGCCCCCAAGTCCAGGGGCACCTCCCTCAGCCCACCCACCTGCAGCAGCATTTGCAGACGCCCCACTGAAGACGCCTCCGGGACAGTAGGCCACCCCTGCAGCCACACCTCTGAGCACCCCTAGGGGTCGCCACGGAAATCAATGCCTTCCGGACTAGCAGCCTCTGGGGCAAATCCCGCCGCTGGCCGGCAGGTGCGCTTTCCCCAAACGGGAGGCGGGGGTGCTCACTCACGGTCCCCCCTACCCTGTGCTCAGGACGTGGGGCACAGAACAGGGACCCGCGGCGCCGGCCTCACCCGGGCACCTGCTGGAAATGCGGACTCCCAGGCCCAACCCGGCCCCACTGTGTCAGAAAGGACGTTAACCAGAGAACTGGGCCTTCCTCGCGGAGTTCCAGGAGGGCCGCTCCGAGACCAGACTGGCTTGCCGGCCAGGAGGAGCGCCCTCTGCCCACACTGGACACCGCGCCCTGACAGCGCTGCTCCCAGAGAGGCACTTCGGGGTCACGGACCCGCGGACGCACCCCCTCCCGGGGCGCCCCACTCACCTTGGCCCAGGCCAGTTTCTCCTGAATGGCAGTATTGTTGGGCTCCACGTGGCGCGCGAACTTGAGGTTGTTGATGGTATATTCGTGGCCGCAGTACACTCTCTGAGGAGAACAGCAAACTGTGAGTTCAGAGAGTCTCCGTGATCTGTCCTCAAAGCCCTCGCAGACACGCATGCGGGGCTCTGGGCCAGGTCCTTTTAGCGACACGCACC